TGGTGGTATTAAACTCTGATACTCAAACAGCAGCGTATCGATTACTTTAGCGATTCCGACCCATCCTCTTCTCGTTAACCTTCACCCACGCTTGTCTGAATCCTAAATGATAATTGTTCCTTGCCTCTTCTTTGTAATATCCCCTTAACAGTAACAATGGTATTTTACCGGTTCATTATAACACCACCAGTCACCACAAAAAAATCTCTCCTCATCTGTTCTCTGTAACGTAACCTTTCGTCCCTCACCTGCTCCTTCACACCACCATAACAAGTCGTCTCTCACCTGCTCCTTCACACCACCATAACAAGTCGTCCCTCACCTACTCCTTCACACCACCATAATAATAATATTTCGCACTTCACTTGTTCTTTATACCATATCACTCTCAAGGTGCCGGAGTCATTTCATGTAAATATATACAATATATAGAGAGGAGACTACAAGAGTTCTCTCACTAAGGAGTATCATATATATTAGTTCGAGTCACTACTCGTAGCATGTAATGAACACTGCCGCCTGATTTGTTTCACCACTGGTTCTGTAGCGATCAATTTAGTTTGTCTTAAGCAAGGAAGCGTGAGTAAAGATATATTCTTAAAATTTTTGTGTTTGCTTAAAAAAACATTAAAGACAATGGGCAGATAGAATAAAAAGCCAAACTTCACCATTAAGTCCAAAATCTCCTCAGCTCGTTGAGTCTCTAACGAGATATATATCTGCCAATTTCCTCCTAATTTGTTTAAATATGATCGAGCAGCAACTCATAATATTGTTTTTTTAGTTATTTGTAGCTATTTGACCTTTGACCCCCAAAATTGTTAAAAGGGCCACATTGAAAATATAGGAAGTGGTCTGAGCGGATCAAACCGAGGTGATGCCTACCAAGTTATATATGGATTGACCCAGAACTGAAGCTGAAGGAGTGACGATTAAAATGTTGTTCATTAGAAGAAAGAAACACAAGAATAACAATGTGTCTCCTGCACTCTCATCATCTGTCAGTTAGTGTCCTTCATTAGCCGGGATGAACCCATATATTGATGTCACAGGATACCTATCTCGTCCCTCTGTGAGAACCGGCAACTGCTGCTGATCACGTGACAAGTCTTAAACACCGGAAACAGTCGAGGGTCGGTCAAATTTTGGCCTTCACATCTAATGGTAATGTCCCACAATACCATATGACAGTGAACACACTATTGCAACACTACGTGGTGTCCCCATAACACCACATGAGGTCCCCATGGCACTACTAATGAACGAGTTACTGCAACACCACGTGCGGTCCCTCATGACGCCACCTGTGAACGAGGTACAGCACCACTTGTTTGCTGTTCAACACCTCAGTGCACCTGGCCTTCATCCTCACACTCAAAGGAACATAAGACCAGCTCCTGCCATCTACTGTAAAATTAACTTGAATGTTCTTGATCTGAGATAAATTTCGGAATTAAGAGAAAACTAACCGTGTCAAAGCCTTGTTGTTAAGGATGTATTAGTAAAATCACATACGAATTTTTTTAATAACATATTTTAGGCTTATAAAGACGAATGTAAATACTACTACCACACTCGGGAAAACATAACAAGACACTTCAACCTTATTTCCATTTGACTATTTTGAGAACCCGATTTAACGTAATGAGCTGTACCTTGGTTTGGACTATCAGCATTAAACGTTGCTCTTACTTTAATGTCGGTCTTTTTTTTTCGATAATTGTTTAAATTCAAGGATACGAGAGTCGTTGAACTAGCAAACAAATAAGTTGATGTATTCAGTATTTTCAGATCGAAGTGATCAACGTCCCTGCTCTCGCCCCCATCATACACAGGGAGTAGATAGTCTGCTACATGACACGTTACCAGAGTTAAGCCTCAATTAACGGCTGCCAGGTGCACGGCAGCCGAGTGGACTTAAACATGATAATGGTGCCCAGTGGGGTGTAAAAGTGTAATGGCGGCCTTACAAAGTGGTCTTTTTTTTATTATTGTGCCATTTAGTAGCAGAACGAAGAGATAAAATGTTTTTTTTCTTTGATTTTTCTGATTTTATTAGTTAGGTTACGAAAAACACTGTTGTTGTTAAAATGTTATTACTGCGCTTCTACAACGAAGGTGTTTAAGCGCGTTACAAGGTTAGTAACACACTAACCAATAACTGTAAGCAATTATGAGATAGAACTCTTCAAAGAAAAAATCACTAGAATATGAAGTTGCCATCTAATCGTATCCCACCCAGCTTCATTATATAATATGTTCTTATTTACTAACATACCTTTACTCAGGTACAATGCACCGGTAAATGTTTACAGGTGAGGCCGAGTAGTGGGACTGCTGAGGGGGAACGATCATATAAATTATACATATGGTTAAAAAAAAAATTGTTGTTGTTTTTACGGGATTAGCCCACCAGGGCCTGGGGGTGAAAATATAATAATAATAACAATAATAATAATAATAATAATAATAATAATAATAATAATAATAATGATAATAATAATAATAATAATAATAATAATAATAATAATAATTATAATAATAATAATAATAATAATAATAATAATAATAATAATAATAATAATAATAATAATAATAATAATAATAATAATAATAATAATAATAATAATAATAATAATAACACAAAGAGAACCAATTAAAACCCTACAATTGTGTGTAAATGTGGCAGAAAGTCAAATCAGCAACCTGGAACTTGGTCACAATTTTTGTGATGCCATTCGGCAGCAGGGTCTACCATTAGACAATACATTATGCTTAGGTTAGGAAGTAAACATATTTACTAACTATCGCTTCATAAAGTCAAAACGACCTACACACTTACACACAGTACTAAACGAATACACTGCATAAGTCGACCGTAACCTATGGTCCTTTTCATTATTGAGTGATTGATGTTTTGTAGAGGTGTCAAGTGACGTGACCAGGTGGCTGACTTGGGCAAATATTAGGGCTTGAAATCTCAGGTAGCGGTGTTGACAGGTGAGTTTTTCAATCAAATCAGACTACGATTTTTCTTCTAAAACTCCCAATACTTGCACTCTGTTCCCACTCCTTACACCCACCCCTCAGCTCCCACACCTCAGATCGCACCCCTACACGTACACCTCAGCTATCACCCCATACACCCACACCTCAGCTACCACCCCCCTACACCCACACCTCAGCTCCCACCCCATACACCTACACCTCAGCTCCCACCCCATGCACCCACACCTCAGCTCCCACCCCACTAGCTCCCACCTACACCTCAGCTCCCACCCCCCACACCTCAGCTCCCCCCACACAGCCTCAGCTCCCACCCCTACACCCACCTCAGCTCCCACCCCCACACCCACACCTCATCTCTCACCCCCTACATCCACCCCTCAGCTTTCACCCATACACCCACAACTCAGTAACACCCCCACCCCCCTCAGCTCCTACCCCTACACCCACACCTCACATATCACCCCACACCCACCCCTCAGCTCCCACCCCACACCCACACCTCACATATCACCCCTACACCCACCCCTCAGCTCCTACCCCTACACCCCACCTCACCTATCACCCCCACACCCCCCCTCAGCTCCCACCCCACCCCACACCTCACCCCCTACACCCCACCTCACTCTCACCTCTACACCCACCCCATCTCTCACCCCCTACACCTACTCTCAGCTATCACCTCACACCCCACCTCACCTATCACCCCACACCCACACCTCACCTATCACCCCGTACACCCACCTCAGCTCCCACCTCTACACTCATGCCTCATCTCTCACCCCCCTACACCCACCCCTCAGCTATTATCTCATACACCCACACCTCAGCTCCCTCCCCCACCCACACCTCACCTATCACAACCTACACCCACCCCTCAGCTCCCACCCCACACCACACCTCATCTCTCCCCCCTACACCCATCCTCAGCTCCTACCCCACACCTACAACCCCTACACCCACCCTATCAGCTACCCACCATACACCCACACCTCAGCTCCCACCCTTATACCCACACCTCACTTATCACCCCCTACACCCACCCTCAGCTCCCTACCCCTACACCCCACCTCACCTATCACCCCACACCCACCCAGCTCCCACCTCTACACCCCACCTCATCTCTCACCACCTCAGCTCCCACCCCCTACACCCCTACCTCGTCTCCCACCCACTATACCCATCCCTCAGCTCCCACCCCTACATACACACCCCAGCTCCCACCCTTACTCCCACCCCATAGCTCCCACCCCCTACACCCACCACTCAGCTCCCACCCCTACACTCAACAAGAATGTCATTCGTTACTTTGTTGACTGAGTGAAACCACGTATTTCATATATGGAATTGCTGGACCCGAACTCGTCACCAAAAGTTTTGTTTGCATTCAAACTTTTGAGTAACTTGATGTTCAGTAGTATCTCCTGGCCGCATGGAATACTTTTGGTCTAAGATACCAGTGAAACTCCTTGACTGTTATATATTCTCTCAAATCCTGGCCAGACAACCGTATATGATGAAGTTCTTTACATCAAATAGAGGACGACCTTGCAGCGTTAAGGGTGGGAGGTGAGACTCAAAGATTTTGGTCATCAAAATCCTTAGGTAATTCTTAAGTAATCATTTAGCCGGGGTTGTACCCATGTAAGTGTGAACAAATTTTAAAATATTTACATATATATTTTTTCCTTTGTCTTTTATTTGATTCTTTGTGATTAGATTTGTTCAATTAACATTTTGTAAAAAATCATAATAGATTAGATCATAAAAAATATCACTAGGGTGATTAAATCCAAGAAAGAATATGTTTGAATATGTATATTTCTTGTGTGTATATTTTTTCTACATATGTTCAATCAGTGTGGCAATCAAACGCTCATCAAGAATTAATGTTTATTGGGAGGGGAACCAGTCCTAACAATCATGATTGATTGTAAAAAGGCAAGGGCGAGGTGTTGGTCCAGAGCGTTGTGCTCAGTCTAGTCTTGGTGTCGGTACAGCATCCATTACAATGACTGCTGCTGCTGTTGTCATTATTGTAACAGTTTTAACTTCTTCTGCTGCTGTTGATACAGCCTACACTTCTTCACGTTGTCTCAGGATGGCCGTGACGGATGTCAGTCTTTGCCACGTGTTTGTTCCACTCCACTGTGTACTGGTCCATGTCTCCACTGGTAACACCACGTGTTTGTTCCACTCCACTGTGTACTGGTCCATGTCTCCACTGGTAACACCACGTGTTTGTTCCACTCCACTGAGTACTGGTCCATGTCTTCACTGGTGACACCACGTGTTTGCTCCACTCCACTGAGTTCTGGTCCATGTCTCCACTGGTGACACCACGTGTTTGCTCCACTCCACTGTGTACTGGTGCACGTCTCCACTGGTGACACCACGTGTTTGCTCCACTCCACTGTGTACTGGTGCACGTCTCCCCTGGTGACACCTACAAGTACCAACATCCTTTACACTTGTTTCGTTTTAGAAAGGAAGAGAGATTTTTAGTGCACACTTTGTACTTATGCTAACTTGGAAAACTTAAATTTATCTGGTTTGACCATTTGAAGGAGTGTAAATGATTCTCAACATCTATAATATTTTAAAGTAGTTTAGTTACTTTTCATACTAAATAATGTATACGCCTATTCTATAGTCTTATTCGTTGAATTGACTGCTAACTCTACTGCAACTCAAAAACACTGATTACAGATAAATGAAAGTATTTTGTTTCCTTATAAAGTTAGAGAAAACTGTGACGGTTGAAGGTGGCAGCTATGGCCTGATGAAATCTGTCATCTGTCTTTTTCGAGGGATGTGTGGATGTGTCCTCATTTTAACTCTTCACATGTGTGTATTGCAGTTCCCGCCGTTTCTGAAGGTACAGCGCACACCAGGTGGGCTGCGGGTATCTGGCTCATTCACCCACATCAATAACATTATCGCATCTTTCCTCAACACCTGGTAAGTACTTGTTGCTGTGGACTAATTAATCTGGTGCCTGCAGACATAATCTACCGACACAGTTCGTCATCCATCTGGTGACGGAGACTCATGCTGGAGATGCAATAGTTGTAGAAGTTTACTATAATTGCCCATTTATTTCATCTGATCCATAACATCATGGTCTTCTTGTAGTCTATTGTCAGCACTTACTATGTTCTCTGTAAAACACTCAGTATTTGTAGAGCGGTTTGTTTATGATGAACCCTGACCTTGTTCAGCGTAGAATATGTGATGCCTGAAGATCAACGCTTTGGAAATCTCGAAAACGACACTTGGACGGGCATCATTGGTCTACTCACACGCCAGGTCAGTGCTCTACCTGATTCACTTAATATAAATTGACCGAACATAAATAGGCAAGATACCCACTGTTGACCTCAAAGAGTCTTCATTAAACATATTATTCTTAACCAGACTAAGTTTACGTTGTTACGTGTGAATACAGGAGGTGGACATATCGGGGATATTTATGTTCCTGGACGTGCGGAGGCAACATGTGGTGGACGGGAGTGTTTGGATCTACATGGACGAGAAGATTCTAGCCTACAAGCGACCCGAACCTAAGGCTGACCTAGGAGGCTTTGTTAAACCTTACACCGTCCTGGTAAGACCAAGTGAAAGTCAAAAATTAAAGATAAAGCATTAACTGTGGTTCGTTCGTCTTAGATCATCGTATTAATGAGATTTTGAGATAAAATACCTTCCCAAAAATTAAAATAGTAAAAATACTTCGAAAATTTTTAAGAAATTTAATGAAGTGACGCAAAATAAGAATGTCATCGTGTGCACACTTAAGGCATCAAAGGCCAACACCCTGAAAGATACAGAAGCTCTAGCGACATCTTTATTTCAGTTTAGTTTCTTCATTCGTCCTCCCTCTGTTACCACGAAAATTAATCCACATGGTCTTACTGGGGAGGACGATGTCAAATAAAGCAGGGTGGTGAACTTTTCTACACTTTCAACACCAAAATATTTTACCGTAAAACTGGTAGCATTATGGTTTGACATGTAACCACGACATTAGCAATAATAATATTTGTATAAGTTATATTACTATTAAAACAATGAAAAAAAAAAAAATCGTCCAACTAACCCTTAAAATGCAACGACGGTGTTGTCATATAGGGATAACATTTTATGCTCATTGTTAGAACTGAAAATTATTTTTCTAATAACATTTTTCCTTCAAACGCTCAGTTATTTATGATAATGAATATTTATTTCTGATGCTCAGGTAGACGCACAAGAGCCTTACATATGGACCAACAATCTGATCTTGAGAGTCATGTTATCTTTTATTATCGTCTCCTACATAAAATAAATAAATACACTTTTTGGACACAGGTATGGTGTATGATCTTATTGGCGCTGGTGGTGGTGTTCGTGGCAATGGTGTTGACTCAACTAACCCAGGCTCGACTCCAACGCCGTCTTCAGTAAGTTTTATGTCTGATTTTATCTCCTTGGTGCAGGTGGAAAAAAAGGTCCTTCCACACACTGTTTCGCACCACTAAGATAATGAAGTAGGTAAAATCCCACCAAATCAAGGGACTTTAAATCCAGACAACCTTAAAGGATAAGGCGGGTTAAATTAGGTTTGGTTAAATGTTATGTTTGGCAATCATAAGTCAGGTAGTTGAAACTTGTTTTCGTAACACCACCAAAACTACCAGTCTTTCTATCAGATCTTGCAGATTCCTCCTATTTGAATATAAGACGAATATAATATTCGCATTACTAGAAAGAGGTTACACCACTTGCTCTTTCTTTTCACGAAATGACTAATACAGCTCATTAAGTTTCATTATTATATTGAGACGTTTGTGCCGTTCTGAGATCTCTACTACGGATCTTCAGGACTATAGTCATTGAAATAAATTGTGAAGTCATTTCTTTTAGTGTGTAGTGGAGATATACAGTGTACATATTTTTACTAAGTGTATAGTCAAGGTACTTTTCTGAGATGTTTTGTTTAAGTGTAGAGCTGAGATAATTTGGTTAAGTGTGTAACGGCAATAAATTAAACAACAAATATACAACAATAAGATTAAATGGATAACGATTATAATAATATTTCTTTGACTTTTCAGAGAGATTAGTCTGTTGGGGATCACTAAGGAACAGGGAACGAAAGGATCAAGAGAGAGAAAGAAGGCGGGGGAAAGACAAGACGAGGCAGGACGAGTGGGAGAACTTGTTGACGACCGTGTGTGGACCTCCTGGCAGTGGTCAATGGCAACACCCCTGGCTCAGTGTTAGTACTACATCTTATCAGCCATTTCCTTCTTTTATTAAAAAACAAATGAAAACTAATTTTATCTCAGACATTTGCCTAATACCGATAACTTGAGTATTTTTTTTTGGGGGGGGGGGGCGTCTGACGATCATATAGAGAAAACCTAACCTAACTTAACCTAACCTTACCTAATCTAACCTACTTTACGTGTAATTTGGCTATCTTATGGTGGTAAATGACGTCTTAAATGAAATAGCAAATTTTATCATCTTATATTTAATTTCCTTAATTTCCATAAAGATATTTATTCCATCAGTATATGTTATATTTTTCCTACATTCAATAAACGCATATAAACAACATATCTCCCTATGCAACGGTACAGTTGGTAATGCTCCAGGTTTGGCAAAAAAATTAACATGGAGAACATGAATGTTTTCTCCACAATAAAGAAAACTGGATACAATAACGTTTTATTGGTTTATCCCAATGTTACCTAAAACTACTCGTACATATAAAATATCAACATTGACAGACTGTGGATACATTACAGTACTAAACAGGACCTTTCCCTTACCCTATGCCCGTCGAAAAGAACAACTCGCGTACAAGGCCACCGTACAGCAGATAGGAGGCAATGATGTTTTATTTTGCAAACTGTATTAAAACCATAGCCTTGCAAGAAATGCTTTTATTCAGAGATAGATGTGTCATTCCTGGAATTTTAATGCAATGTGATCAAACAAAGGGTTACCACATCTCACAATATGTGCCAACCACTGCACCAGGTGGAACTGTGGCCGACTGTGCGTAAACGTGCGTTTATGTGTACTGAGGGCGAACACGTTAGGGTAGTGGAAACGAACAGGTAATAGGTAATGAGAGCATGGTTTCTCCTGCAGCGTCGCCATGGAATCCAAGGGGCATGAGCATACGGGTGGTGGCGGGTATATGGTTATTGACAGCACTGGTGATAAGCTCAATCTATCGGTCTAACCTGAAGGCCATGTTGATTTTGCCTAAGGTGAGCCCTCCCTTCACCAGCCTTGAGGAGCTCCTCAAAACCTCCATCCCCTGCTACGTCCTCCAGGGCACAGTGCTGCATGGAGAAATTCTCGTAAGTAAAATAATTATCAATTCCTTCTCCATGACAAACATAATTATTATCATTATTATTTATTTAATTTTTTTTTGGGGGGGGGGTGTAGTTTCGAAGTAATCCATTGAACCATCTCTGAGAAATATCTGTCTTCCCCAACTGGCCAAAAAAACCTACAAGGATATATATGACGAAAAAAAAGTCTCAAAGATTATTAGTTCGACATGGACCTGAAGTATGTCAACTGGCCTTCATGATTTGGTTATTTAAGCAATTAATTACATAGTTTAATGCCTATTTCTTCTCCTTCAACTTACTTAGAGGATGCACTTGTCAATGCGCTTAGTGTATTCTATGGACAATCTTACCATATGATACTTCAAAGATCATCTAAACTCGGAACGCTTCTCTAAGATACATTTTCTTATGTTATTCCTCTAATGTGACATGGGAAAGATACATACCCTCAACCTTAGTTATTGACCACCACAAATTGATCCTTGCCACATTTGTGAGAGGGGGTGAAACAACGTTTGGTAAGTTTTCTTTTATCGGTGAATACTCAATTAGTCGACTCATTAATTTACACACTTTCTTCTTCTCGAGGGTTGGGGGAAGTACAGTAAGTGTGTTTAGTATGATCACAACACTTTCTCAGAAATGTCGTCGCGCGACTCTCCTTGGTAAATCATTGACATTAGGTTATAATTAAAGTATCTTTTCAAAAATGTCATCCTATTTCTTGGTTATTAAAACCTTGTTTCTGAGATGATTAATGTTTGTGGTTTGCCACACTAGACTCTAGAGGGAGATTAAGTTTTTCTATTAGATTGGTTGAGCAAATTTCTAATTGTTGGAATGAAGTTTTTGACATTATTATGTGGTGAAGATAAATTGGTGCTTGCGCAGACGGCGGAGCCCGGGAGTCATCTGTACAAACTCAGGAAACAGATGATATCTCACGTGGACGTCCCTAGAGCAGTGAAAGATCTTCTTCAAGGAAAACACGCAGCCCTTATCCCTCTCACCTCTCACTTGAACATTCAGCACAACAACTTCTTACGGGTGAGTATCTTTTTCAACAAGAATGTTTCACATTTTTTTAAGTAGATATTAACCTTACAGTATGTGCAGAATTATGTCACACGTTTAATTTGTATGTGTAGACGTAGAGAGGAGAGATCTTATAGTATAGTTACAAGTTACCTTTTATGACAACAACTTAGTCATCTTTTAAACCCGAGTCATCTGTCTCTTATCTAGTTACTTCATAATGAGGGAAGTCGGAGCTATAACCAAAGATGCGACGGACTAGATTATTGGGAATGTGTTGATGATATTTCATAAGAACTCCCAGCAACATGTATAGAGGAGAAAATGCAATAGATTCCACAAGAACATAATTATTCCTCTGCCAAAGAAACCAAGTGCAATAAGAATGTTTAAATCATCAGACAATCAGCTCTGAGATGCGAGATTAGGTTTAGAAGGCGGCGGTCAGCAAGGAATACAATACCGGCAATAAGAAAGCAGTAGATACTGTAATGTGGTTGATATTCTTCAAGTGCAATAGTCGAAATAATTCAGGTATTTGGAGTACTTGGGAAGGAAGAATGGAGAATATGATGCAGTGACCAAGCCTAATATTGGGGTGACTACGGAAGGTCAGACTTTACTTTTACTTTAATTACTTTTATCCTCTATGCCACTGATCGGCTCGTCAGCCGCTTGGGCGGTCGATCACGTCTCTGTTACGCACTGGCTCCTGAAACTATCTGTACCTGATCAAGTCTAGTCTTGAAAGAGCTCACACTCAGTGCCGTAACAACACTCTCTGGCAGGATGTTCCAAGAGTTTACAATTCTAGCTTCAAAAAAGTTTGCCCTGACAGTTTTCTGGACTTGTGGCATCTTCAACCTGGCGTTCGCCAGCTCCAAGTATGTACTCTCGACTGAGTAGTACCCTCTGAGATGTTTAGAAACTTACATTAAGTCACCCCTTGCCCGCCTCAGCGAGAAACTTAAAGAACCATGACGTCAATTTGCCAGATTTTTTTTTTAAATATGTGTTTAGAGAAAATTAGATAAAGCAGGAATGCATAACAATAACAAACGAAGTCGATCCTTAGCAAACAAGATAAATACTGAACTTGATCAGAGTGAGAAAGAAAAGGTGGGTAAGGAACATTATTTGAGGAGGAGAAGAGGTAATCACTACAGGAGCACCAAGAAATATGATGGCGAAATAATTTAAATGTTATCAGAAAATGTGATGAGAAAGTGATGAACAGGGCAGAACAGAAACAGTTGTTGCTTCTTGGCTAACAACCAACGATGACGACGATATTTTAAACTTATTGAGTACAGTCGAATAAGTTTTATGAAGTATAAAACAGAGATAAATGAATTTTTTTCTTACAGACAAGAACCTGTTCTATATACATGAAACCTGCGGATCTCAGCAGCTTCCCTCACCGGTATCTCTTCCCCAAAGGTTCGCCTCTCGTACACAAGCTCAACCCCCTGTAAGTCACACTATTTCACAATATTACTTTCAAACCTAATAAGTTGGAGAACGTGGCCCCCTTAACACCATAACAATTAATTAATGACTCCTGTGGTAGATATAATTGACTAGCCATATCGTCTACAATTGAGAAATGGTGTTAACATTTGTTTCTTTTCATAAATTTTATCTATAGCCCAACTCCACACGTTGTTATCATGATATCTGTGAAATATGAAGTCTCTGTATTGAAAATATTGACAAAGGGGGATGTTGCAAACTTTTTTTTTCCAAACCTCTACATTAATCTACATCAGTTCAGTTTGGATAAATTTTGTTCTGTTGTTTTGCAAATATTTAACCATATGTAGAGAAAAGCAATTGCATGTCCTCGGAATATGTGCACTGTATTGCTAGCTAAGTCATTATCATATAACAGTTCAGGTGGTGTTCAGTGAGTGCCCTAAAATCAAACAAAAACTATAATTTTTCCAGGGGAAAATTAACACTGGAACACCATTATATGTCATCTCTGATCCTGAGCATTATATTGTTTTATGTAACTGGTGAGTGGTCACTTACAACAACCTGTACAGCTGATAACCATACCACGAATTTACCCTGTACTGTTTTTGAATTAATAAAAATAAGTGAAATCTATTCACATGTGACGAGTGTGTTCTCTGCGCAGATTAACGAGGCTGAAAGAGTCGGGTGTTCTGGACTACCTGTACTTCAGTGATATCTACCACGGCATAAAATGTCTTAAGACCACCACCACCACCACACTGCTCAGACCTCTCGAACTGGGTGACTTCTATGGCGTGTTCTCTCTGTATGGTGGAGGTGAGAGCGTCCGTGCATACACACACACACACAGTATATTTTATACTAATTGTACTGATTCTTTCAAGAAATTTATTTTTACTCATTGTTTTATTTTATTAACAGTTAATTTATTTTCTTCAACAGGAATGTTGATTGCTGGTTTGACATTCATTCTGGAGCTGATCGTAGGTGTTCACAGACACAATGAGTAAGCTGTCGTGCTGGTACACTCAAGATTCAGCACTGGCACTTCCTCTCCGTATTAGTGCATGTAGAATTCAGCCGCCACATTGATGCACTGAACTTTAGAGGACACATTGGCGCCCCAAGATGAACTCTTCTAATGAATACTGCATTGTCAGCCCCGGGTCTACCACAGTACCTGAAACCTTTCCAATTTCCTGTTAATCCGTCCACCTGCAGGCCCAACTAGGGCTGTAATGTCCATCCTCTTCGTTTTCTAATTATTGTAATGGTGTATAACCTGGCGCTGTGCCGTCTCCTCCACTATGTCTTCTGATTGGTTGGTGTATTGTTGACTAACGTTATAACAGTACATTCCTTATATGAACTAATTTAAGACAATAAAATAGCACCAGCATTAGTGCAGATTTTACTAATAAGCTCTAGTTATACTGAGACTGGATTCTATGATGTTCCTACTGTCAATTGAATTACAAGGTAATATTGAGGAGGCATTATCCCAGTCAATGCAATGCGTATTATCCCTCAAATGAACAAACAGAGCATTGGATTCCTGGCCTGTCCTAACACTATATTTATGTTGTTTAAGTCTAGTTACAAGATCTTTACCTGTCTGGCCTAAGTAAAACATATTACATTCCTTGCAAGGAACCTTATAAATGCAGCCACCTGTATTGTTGAGGAGTTATTGATTAACATTTGCTTAACAGTGCATGAGTTTTTAAATGCCACATTGACGTTCCAGGTTTTTAGTTGTAAAGGAATATGAGAGAAATTTTTGTGAAATGGTAATACTAAGAAATTCTTATGGTCATGGGTGGGCTTGGGATCGGTTTTATAAAAAGATTTCTTAGTAATGTTAAGGCATTTGTCTATGAAAGATCCAGGGTACTTAAGGTTCAAGCCAATATTATAGATATATTTATATTCTTCATCAATGAATTCCGGGCTGCAAATTCTCAAAGCATGTAAAAACATTGATGAAAATACTGACTGTTTGACTCTATTATGGTGGGCAGAATAATAATGAATGTATGAACACACATTAGTAGGTTTCCTGTAAATCCTGAACTTAAAGGTGTTACCTATTCTGTGGATCAGACAGTCTAGGAATGGCAATTTACAGTCATGCTCTAGTTCCACAGTGAATTTGATCTAGGGGGCTAAGTTATTAAGTTGTGGCAGGAAAGCTTTTAGGTCCTCATTACATGGCCAGAGACATAATACATCATCTACATATCTAAACCAGACTGCTGAAGGTGGTAGAATATTACTTAATAGTTTCTTTTCAAAGAATTCCATATTTAGGTTGCTTAATACTGGTGAGAGTGGATTACCCATTGCCATACCAAATTTTTGAGCATAATATCCTCCATTGATTTCAAGTTTACAATCATTAATACATAGTTTAATGAGTTCGATGAAGTCGTCTTTCGAGACGGGCAATGAAATATTATCCAAGGAATCTATGAGGAACTCCAGTAAATCATCAACTGGGACCTTTGTAAAGAGTGATGTTACATCAAAACTGACCAGTTTAAAATCATAATTAATGTGTAAGTTATTGAGTTTATCAACCAGATCAATATTATTCTTAATATTACAGTAGAGTTAGAAATGTTACCAACTTGGGGATTTAGTAAAGAAACTAACCATTTAGATAATTTATAAGAGATTGACCCAACTGAGCTAATGATGGGTCTTGCTGGGTTATTAGGCTTGTCAGTCTTGATTAAACCGTACATGTATGGCAGTGGAGGGGACATTGAAGTAAGATGTCTAATGGGAGTAGCTTTGCCTCTCAAGAGAGACTTAAGTTTTTTGTTGAACTGAGTGTTAACTGTTTTGAAAGGATTATTTATGAGCTAAGAATATGTTGCAGTATCACATTCATTTGAGAAATATAGTCATCTTTGTTTAAAATCACTACTGTGTTGGCTTTTTCTGCTTTAGTAACATGTAGATCCTTATTTTTCTTAAGGGCTTGGATTGCTTTGGTGAATCTTTCTGGACAGTTTGAATCACAAGGCTTAGACATAGATGCATACACAACACCTTTACACATGTTCACTTCTTCACTTGTCAAATTATTGAATTTCTCCAAATTGCAAAATGCTCTGGCTATGTCAACACTGTCGACTCCCTTGTTAGAGCCATCAAAACTTAAACCATAACCGAGTGCACACAAGGTATCATTGTCTAGTTGTTTAGAGGAGAGATTCACTACATAGTTGTGACTGGCATCCTTAGTCCAATAACAATTTGTGGTCTATTTTAGCTTGAAGATCAGAACGCTCACGTATCAGGTTATCAAAACAGTAATCCAACATGAACATTTTCCAATCACTCGGTGTGGTCATATTAAAAACTTGCTTTTTTGTCATACAATACAGAAAGCTTCATCCACTTCAATTTTCTTTATTTCAAAATGTTTCTTTAGGATGATTTCTTGGAAATCATCAAGGGGCGGTCAGACATCTTCAGGACACGTTGTGGGAGGATTCATCTCGGCATAACTTTTTCACTAAGGCATGTCTGGAGAAATTTCAAGCATATTTTCAATTTGTGGGCCTTGATCATCGAAGAGGAGTATTCAGTAACGAAAGGAGACAGTCCAGGAGAGCTTGTAGAGAAGCAGAAGAAGTGGCGCGTGGAATCCATTATGCAGGTAAATCACTGAAGGTGTGCGTGATCCAGGTATATGCTGATAACCACAAGGTTATCAGCATATACCTGGATCACGCCCACCTACAGTGATTTACTTGCATGTATATATATATATATATATATATATATATATATATATATATATATATATATATATATATATATATATATATATATATATATATATATATATATATGTAACAGGTCGCAATTCTCTCACTTTGGGGATTTTGATTATAGTGGATGTTAATGCAGTGGAAGCGCCCCTTTGAGAAAAACCCGAACCAGCACAAACACAATTAACTTAAAAAATATTCTCCGTGACCCGTGGAAAGATAGCACCTGTGATTGTGGTGAATGAGACGCACTGTAAAATTTGACACTTCTATTCCCTCCAACACTACAACAACAATCAATAATGGTACACCAGCATTTGCGCACCTCTTAACCTGGCTTAAAGCACTACACTGGGGAACAAAAGTTATACATGATATCAAAATTAGGTAGAAATATTAAATGCCTTATGAGCACTACTAAGGTGACAGTGCTACTTACACCAGAATGAGGAGCTCATCTGAAAACAGTTCTTCGTTATCTCACATCCCTTAGTGACACATAAACATTAGAAAACAATAGTATCAAAATATTTAGAAATTGTTAACTCCACCCTGAACAGGCCTTAAGGGCATTCAAGAAAATAATATCAGTCACTGAGAAATGGTAACAGAAAATATCAGGGAGTGTTAACTACACACAGCAAGAAAACCCGTGAAAATCACTCATGACCCATCAGGCAGGTGGGTGCTCTGCTGGTTTTGATAGTACTTTCTCTAGATTCTCAGGAATCATGAATGTTTTTCTCCACCAATACCGGCACACAACTTTTGATAGGAATTCTTACGTCTCACGTGTGAAAATCAACCATGAGGAGCGCTGTTTTCACACCTGGACTTGGTAAATTCTAAACACACCTTACCACTATTTCCAGTAACATGCATCACACATAAGTTCAGAGCACACCCATACTGGGGAGATAAAATGTCTCTAAGTACCCACTAGACTCCTGGTCTCAGTGTGTGACCATTCATTCACTCAGACTGCCTCAGTTTTACGCTCAGTACATCCATGAACTGGAAGAGAGCGAGGGCCAGTCAGCCAATGAAACCCGCCCAGCTGAGGTGGGTTCTATTTTCCCATTAGTAACAGGTTTTCACTAAAGTGACTGAAGATATGTGGTGTTGTGAACCAAGGAGGGGGAGATCTGGTGTCCCCAGACGATCGTCAACCGAGGGCGGACGCTGGTCCTACGTAGTTAGTTGTCAGGAACACTCGTTCCTTCAGGCTGTCCCAGCTAAGACTTCGCTAGCCAGTGGTCAACACAGACAGCTCACTCCACTCCACCCCTCAAACTGCTCAACTCCACCGTGTGGGCTCAACTCGACTAAGTGGGCTCTACAGGATCCCTGCAATAAACCCTCTTTTAGCTATTGTTAACTTCTCCGCCCTATCTAAACCTTGTCTGAGATCGAATAAACTTATTTGCAACACTGATGAACTGTGCACGCAACGAGACCAGGCCACGTGGTCGTTTTTCCTGGATGTGCAGACGTCCTGTCTGTCCTATCGCTTCCGCGTGACTGAGCCAGCCAGGGCGTGCCCCCAAGGCGTTAACCTGCTAGTGACATATTTACCCGCATAACTGAGAAACGATCTATAATAAAATTAAATTTAATAAATGTCATTTAATTTCATGATTCGCGTCCATATTAATTCGGTAAATTACATTTAAGATTGTATAGGCCTAGTTCCAAAAGCTCTCACTATGTGTGTAAGCGCCACCCTAGCCCAGTCAACCTATAGTGTAGGCCAAGATGACTCAGCGTGACGCCATATTGGTATTTACGTATTAACGTCTCTAAATAACACACTGAAATTTCTGAATATTGCACACACACACACACACAACACACACACACACACACACATATATATATATATATATATATATATATATATATATATATATATATATATATATATATATATATATATATATATATATATATATATATATATATATATATATATATATATATATATATATATATATATATATATATATATATATATATATATATATATATGTGTGTGATTGAACTACTGTAAGGTGTCATATCAGGTGGCATTGATTTTCGTGAACATTATATATGCTGTCCATCCTAAAGAGGGATGTAATAAATAGGCCCCTGTCTCATCAACAGAGCGTATTATATAAACGGGTCAATACATCTGATATTATATTCCAGATTCACCACCCTGTAACTTTCCACTGTCTATGAGTAAGACATAGAGATTGACCGCGTGGCGGGCAACTTACCCAAGAGGGCGAGACCCATAGCTCAGCATTTCTGTAGCTTGCGCTTTTCACGATGCCCCTAAGCTTCAGTAGCTCACCCCAACTCATATGCGTGGGGCGTGACCTACTTACGTTTATGTCCATACATAAGCGCCCGTCCCTTTCTCATTCACTCCTAGACAGTGAGAACTACGGTTGATATACACTCAGAATTTATATACAACCTTTTATAATAAAACAAAAGGAACTACCGTTTGGGTTTACGTTACTTAAAACCCAAATATAAATATGTGTGAAACGGACTGGTTAATTGGACAAGCGGCGATTCATATAGGTGAAACTAGCGGTGTATGCAGTTACTTCAAACTGGTAGTCATCATCCGTCTGTGTCTTTAATGAAAAACAAG